GTTTGAAAAATGATGAAATGCAGACGAGTAAGAATAACTCTACTTTATTTGTTAAATTGCTAAATCTAAAAGTCTTCTATCTTTTGAGTCTTTTGGGTATATTTGATGAAAGCAAGTCTTTGGTAAATTAGTTCGGATGATATTCGAGTCTAAGTCTTTGTACTTACAATTAGATGCATGTCTTCTGATTTATTCTGATACCGTGAACTTCTGCCTGTCTGAGATGTGTAAAATTTATATTAAAATTCAAAATAAAAAAAATTGGAGTCCTGGCAGATCAACCAATTTGGGACATACTTGATAGGAGATAGTAATGTAATATTCTATTAATCCTTTTTTTATTAATTTTAAAATTGCATATTAATCCGCAAAATTATGGCGAATCTAATCTAATAACGAGATAAGATGCCACATTACTTCTATAAAAATGATTCAATCTTCACACTTTTTATGTCGAAGTACAAATTAATTGGAGTGCACGTTGCATTAGAAAATATGTTTTGTGAGTTATGGGGGATGCTGATGTAATATATTATATTGGACTTATTTTAGTAATTTTAAAGTTGCATATAATGGTGCAGAATGCTGCCAAATTGAGGAAAGTCCTGTATTGAGAAGAGATTCCACATAACTTTTATATGATTATTGATCATCATTAAAATTACATTTAAGTTATTCGAATCTTTACATGTTTTTCATTGAAGTACAAATTAATTACAGTGCACTTTCAATTAAAAATATGTTTTGTGCTTAATATAATACCTTAGTAGATGTAGACCTTCTTTCTTTTTTATTAGTTGTACATTATCAATTTTATTTTAGGAGTTTTAATACGTCACAATTATTTTAAATCATTTATTGGCATGTATGACATGTATTCAGTCTGTTACTTTTTTACTTTTACTATTTCACAAATTAAACTGAATATTAAAACTATGGAGGATATGGATTTTTTTATGCTTGATCCATTATTTTAAATTTTTATACTTAAATATAGTTATCACATAAAAAAAGCTTTTTCGTGGTTTGTGGTCAGTGCTATGGGCTTGCAATCAGAAGTTTCAGATTGATATATATTTCAATAATAAATTCATAATAAAAAGATAAGCCAATAGTTGAGTTGCTTTCTAAAGCCAAGTTGTTTAGAAGTCATCACAACAACCTTGTAGGAATATTAAGTTATACTTGCTGTTAGTAATATATAAAAATTACAGCAAAAAGTAGTGTATTTTGTAGTAAACACATTTGAGCTTATATAACTATTATTATCTCTAGATGTTTTTTGTCACTAAATTTATCATTCCATAAAGAGTATCCTTTCATACGAGAAATATGCATGAATTTTTTGGAATCAAATGAAATGCCACCTTGTTTATTTTAATACCACCTTGATGGAATCACAAAAACTTTCCTTGGTTAAAAAACCCAAGATTACAAAATTATGTAACGTAATTATTTGTTGAAATTTTTATTCAAAAAACAAATCATGCTATTTGAACCTAAGAAGAGAATTGTAGACAATAACAAAAGCAAAAAAGTTGATTTTTTAATTGTTTTGCGTTTATGTGAATGGAAAAAATAATGCGGGATCAAGGCAGCTCACCATGTCATAAGTATGTAAGTTCGGAATTTGATTCCGCTGACGTCAACTGACGTTGATTTAGCTTTTATTTGAATCTTTTTTCGTCTTAAGCATGATAAATCATATTGTTTTTTTTGTTATTTTCATCATGGAATTATGGATAAATACAACTTAGCATTTTACCAATATTTTGTGCCAATTTGCGTGAATTTAATATAATTTTGCATTTTATAATTATATACAAATCAAATTTTAAATTCATTGGAAAATTTTAGTTTATTTATGGTATCATGTTTTGTTAATAAGTCAATGAAACTATAATGCCTAATGCATAATTTAACTCCGGTTGTAAGAATATTGAATACTCAGCAATTGAAACTATCCTTGCCAAGAAATATATGTTTATTTTGTAACGTATAATTCAAATTTATTTTGTAATTAAACAAAATTTAATACAAATAAAGAGCCCACACGTGGTCTATTTGGAATCAGATTTGGTCTCGTCTAGTGGACAATCTGATTCCAATCAGCAGTAATATAGAAATATAGATAAAAATATGTTTCTAATATAAGTGAAAATAGATGATACCTGATATTGCTGCATCAATAAAAAAATCTGTATCTATACAGAAATAATAATAATAAATAGTAATGTAAATGCAAATAATAAATTAATAACATAGAGATAGGGCAATTATATGGATTGCCATCCATAAAAGGCCAAGTCGTAGGATTTGATAAGTTATGATTGATGTTAAGAAATATACAAAAAAATATATTTATAAAATAACTAAATAAAATAAAATAAAATATAATAATCCCATAGAGCTTCAAAAAAGAACGTCCATACCACCTGTTTCGGATAACTAACTTCCCGAGTTATAGTTATAGTAATCGCAAAAAAATCGAAAATGAAAATTTGTATATATATTTACGTTTCAAAGGTTTCTGAATATTTTGGCATACCTTAGAAAAAATGGATGTATGTGTATGTGTGTGCGTATGTGTGTGTATGTATGCGTGTGTATATGCGTGTGCGGATACAAATTTTCGACACGTGCTGATTAGTTTTTGACAAACGCAGGTCTAGCCGCTTCGAAGATACGGGGCCAAAAGAACCTGATATGGTAATTAAATAAATAAATTTTGAGAGAACGGAGCGTCCGATTTGAATATTTCAAGAAACATTTTATTTGTATTGGCCAAATAAACAACTGGTAAAATTTTTATAAAGGCAGGTCCAGGGCCTTCGAAGATCCATTAAAAAAAACGAAATGATAATTCAGTTTTTGAGAGAACAGAGCGTCCGATTGGAGTATTTAAAAAAAACACTTTTTTGTATTGACCAAATAAACTAATGGTAACATTTTTGTAAAGACAGGTCCAGCGTCTTTGGAGATCCAATAAAAAATAATGCCATTTTTGGCGGTCAAAAATGAACATTAGACATATGTACATCGTATTATCAGGTATTTTATAAAGATTATAATAATAAGTACAAATTTTATGTACATTTATATGGGTTCCGTACCAATGTTCACACGTTAGACGACTACGCGACGCTTACGCGCTTTGATATTTCGACTCCAAATCAACTATGCACCGCGATGGCTTAAAAAAAATGTTCAAGAATTCCAAAAAAGACCAATATATAAAAAATCAAATTTTTAAAAAAAGTGTACAAAAAATTTCTCAAAAATCTGATTTTTTCAAAGTTTTGCAAGGTTTTTTTTTAATAATTTAGTTTTCGGTACGGGAAGTTCCAGCAATTTGCCTTAAGGCACGTTGCCATGTTTCGTTTGTTCAGTTTGAGTTAGATATCATATTCGTTATACAACATTATGACAACCCGATTCACATGAATTGTATTTTACGTCATTGTCTTTGCTGTCGCTTGTTGAATTATGATGTATATGTTACACCTTTGAACCATTTTGTTTTTTCAATAATTTATTTTTAAAATCAGATAAATCTTGCTAATTTACCAATATAAAGATTTTTAAACAAAATCAGCTTCAAAATATATGAATAATTTATAACAAATACAAAATAATATATGTGAATAAACTAAAAAAAATAATTAAAAGAAAAATATATAAGTAATCGTTTATCATTACATTTATTTATTTATACCGGAAACTAATTATTAGTAATCAATAACACTTTTTCTAGAACATTTTTAAAATCATAAGTTCTATTTTATGTTATTTATATCATCATCAGACTTAAGTATTAAATTTCACTTTTTACTATAGTTGCTATAACGAGTATAGTTATTGCAATTAGCATAAAAAAACAGTATATAAAAGTAGGCATTATTCAATGTAAACTTGTTTTTATCTTATAGTTAGTTTGAAATAAATAAGACAAGCTTATGAGTTCTTCTACACATTCTTGTGTATTTTAGTTTAAATATTGATGTAACATATTTATTATTATTAATATCGTCATATTGCAGAATTTTCTTAGAATGGACGCATATGATAAATATTATATATATATATATATACATATATATATATATATATATATATATATATATATATATATAATTGGAAATATTAGAATTTTGAGTTAATAATGAATGTGTTTCCTAGATTAGTGGAGCTATGGGCTTACGCTCAGGATTTTTAGGTTCGATACATGCCTCGGACATCCTGATATAAAGCAGTATTTACATCGATTTTTACTTAAAAATAAAGATACAGTAATGCCCCGCTTAACGTGGTGAAACATTGGGGTCGAAAAATAGATGGGTAGGAAATTGGTTAGATATTAAATTTAGAAAGTATGCTTTTTTAATCAAAATAAAATCAAACACTTATTTCTTAAAGCCCAAATTAATACCACATTATTATTTCTTACAAAAATAAAAACAAAACGAATATTCTTGTATAAACAAATAAAATTCTAAGTCAATCATAATTAGTTAGCCTTCCGCGTTTTCAGTGTTCTGCCTTTTTGTGACAAAAGCATCTAATGTTGTTTGCCTTGTTCTCTTAAAAGTTCTTCATAAACAGAAAGAGCATCTCTAACACCACGCCTTGAGCTCCTGCCAAAATTCGGATCATTTTCAATCAAATGTCCATTATTTCAGTTATGGTATACAAACTCTTTTTACAAACGCCATCGAAAGTTCTGTTTGTCTTCTTCAGTAATTCAGACACTGGTGTTAACATTTTTTTTCTTCTTGTTCACTTAATTCAGAGTTCTTCATCATTAGAAATACATCATTCAAGACTGCTTCTTGAATTATATCTTTAACATCTTCCACCTGGATTAAAATAAAAGAGCGCTAAACCAAAACAGCGCTAAACAGCGTTAAGCGGGTTATTACTGTAACTAAAATAAAATCAAAACTGCATTTGTTCAATTACCTTTTTTGACAAAATATTCAATATATTATTTATTTTTTCAGTTATGGTTTACTGGGTGCATCAGGCTGTGGAAAGACTACCTTGCTCTCTTGTATTGTAGGACGTCGACGACTTAATCAGGGTGAGATATGGGTTTTGGGCGGAACGCCCGGATCACGAGGCAGCGGTGTGCCTGGTCCACGAATTGGTTACATGCCACAGGTAATATTAATATATAAGAAATATAAAATGTATACATATATTATAAACCTCTAAGCTCTAAACGGAGCTATAATCGATGTGGTCTTATTCCATTTTATCAGTTTTTGAAAAATATTTTAACTTGTTTAGACTAGTTACTATTTTATTCATTATTTATTTCATCGGAATTATATATTGCGAAAGGGCTGTTCACACGACGCTTGTTTCGTTGCTTTTTTGGTCGGCTGGCTGGTATGCTGGTTATCAAGTAGGCAAAATTACGTCGTATCGATCTCCATTTTTTTTCAGCAAGCGAGATTTTGATATTAAAACATGCGTTATTTTTGTGGATGGATCATAAACCTATAAATGAAGCCCGAACATAAACCATATATTACATGGACTGCTAGTGAAGCGCAAAAAAGTGCTCGTCATATATCTAAGCGATGATTACACGACATTTGTTTTCTGGGCTGGCTACATGGCATTCTTGATTTTTAAGTGTGATTTGTTTTAGCTTGCTTAATTTCCAAGTGTGATTTGTTTTGGCTTGCTAGATTTTTGAGTGAGGTTTGTTTTAGCTTACTAGATGATAATCTTGATTTTCGAGTGTGATTTGTTTTGGCTTGCTAGATTTTTGAGTGAGATTTGTTTTAGCTTGCTAGATGATAATCTTGATTTTCGAGTGTGATTTGTTTTGGCTTGCTAGATTTTTGAGTGAGATTTGTTTTAGCTTGCTAGATGATAATCTTGATTTTCGAGTGTGATTTGTTTTGGCTTGCTAGATTTTTGAGTGAAATTTGTTTTAGTTTGCTGATTTTCGAGTGTGATTTGTTTTGGCTTGCTAGATTTTTGAGTGAGATTTGTTTTAGCTTGCTAGATGATAACTTTGATTTTCGAGTGTGATTTGTTTTGGCTTGCTAGATTTTTGAGTGAAATTTGTTTTAGCTTGCTAGATGATAATTTTGATTTTCGACTGTGATTTGTTTTAGCTTGCTAGATTTTTGAGTGAGATTTGTTTTAGCTTGCTAGATGATAATCTTAATTTTCGAGTGTGATTTGTTTTGGCTTACTAGATTTTTGAGTAAAATTTGTTTTAGTTTGCTGATTTTCGAGTGTGATTTGTTTTGGCTTGCTAGTTTTTTGAGTGAGATTTGTTTTGGCTTGCCGGATGATGACCTTGATTTTCGAGTGTGATTTGTTTTGGCTTGCTAGATTTTTGAGTGAGATTTGTTTTAGCTTGCTAGATAATAATTTTGATTTTCGAGCGTGATTTGTTTCAGCTTGCTAGATTTTTGAGTGAGATTTGTTTTAGCTTACTAGATGATAACTTTGATTTTCGAGTGTGATTTGTTTTGGCTTGCTAGTTTTTTGAGTGAGATTTGTTTTGGCTTGCCAGATGATAATCTTGATTTTCGAGTGTGATTTGTTTTGGCTTGCTAGATTTTTGAGTGTGATTTGTTTTAGCTTGCTAGATAATAATTTTGATTTTCGAGCGTGATTTGTTTTAGCTTGCTAGATTTTGAATGAGATTTGTTTTAGCTTACTAGATGATAATCTTGATTTTCGAGTGTGATTTGTTTTGGCTTGCTAGATTTTTGAGTGAGATTTGTTCTCGCTTGCTAGATGATAACCTTTATTTTCGAGTGTGACTTGTTTTGGCTAGCTAGATTTTTGAGTGAGATTTGTTTTAGCTTGCTAGAAAATAACCTTGATTTTCGAGTGTGATTTGTTTTGGCTTGCTAGATTTTTGAGTGAGATTTGTTTCAGCTTACTAGATGATAATCTTGATTTTCGTGTGTGATTTGTTTTGGCTTGCTAGATTTTTGAGTGAGATTTGTTTTAGCTTGCTAGATGATAACTTTGATTTTCGAGTGTGATTTGTTTTAGCTTGCTAGATGATTTTAGTATATGTTCTGCCGAAGCTAGAACAGCTTGCGAGATGATAATCTTGATTTTCGAGTGTGATTTGTTTTGGCTTGCTAGATTTTTGAGTGAGATTTGTTTTAGCTTGCTAGATGATAATCTTGATTTTCGAGTGTGATTTGTTTTAGCTTGCTAGATTTTTAAATGCTAGATTTTTGAGTGAGATTTGTTTTAGCTTGCTAGATGATAATCTTGATTTTCGAGTGTGATTTGTCTTAGCTTGCTAGATTTTTAAATGCTAGATTTTTGAGTGAGATTTGTTTTAGCTTGCTAGATGATAATCTTGATTTTCGAGTGTGATTTGTTTTGGCTTGCTAGATTTTTGAGTGAGATTTGTTTTAGCTTGCTAGATAATAATTTTGATTTTCGAGCGTGATTTGTTTTAGCTTGCTAGATTTTGAATGAGATTTGTTTTAGCTTACTAGATGATAATCTTGATTTTCGAGTGTGATTTGTTTTGGCTTGCTAGATTTTTGAGTGAGATTTGTTTTCGCTTGCTAGATGATAACCTATATTTTCGAGTGTGACTTGTTTTGGCTAGCTAGATTTTTGAGTGAGATTTGTTTTAGCTTGCTAGAAAATAACCTTGATTTTCGAGTGTGATTTGTTTTGGCTTGCTAGATTTTTGAGTGAGATTTGTTTTAGCTTGCTAGATGATAATCTTGATTTTCGAGTGTGATTTGTCTTAGCTTGCTAGATTTTTAAATGCTAAAACAAATCTCACTCAAAAATCTAGCAAGCCAAAACAAATCACACTCGAAAATCAAGTAAGCTAAAACAAATCACACCTAACCATGCTATGGAGCCATCCCAGAAAACAAATGCCGTGTGATTCGGGTTTTTTTCATATCCCTGATATGATCCATCCACAAAAATAGCGCACGTTTTAATATCAAAATCTCGCTTGCTGGAAACAAATGGAGATCGATACGACGCAATTTTGCCTTCTTGAAAATTAGCATACCAGCCAGCCGACCAAAAATGAAACGAAACAAGCGTCGTGTGAACAGGCCTTAATATTGTATATACTTGCTCTGCTTTATTATCATAATCGAAAGTAACATTTGTTCACGATCATAACCTTTACTAAATTAATTAGAGAATACTCATATAAGAAAATTATTTTCTATAATTAGTGAATATTACGATAAATTTTTTTCAGGAAATTGCTCTCTACGGTGAGTTTTCGATTAGAGAGACAATGATATATTTCGGGTGGATATCTGGTATGTCTACAAGTGAAGTGGATGCTAGAATAGATTTTCTATTAGATCTTCTACAGTTACCTGCCGGAGGAAGGTAAAACTTATTTTTTATTTTTAAATTTTATGCTATCAAAATATAGTATTTCTATTATCTTGATTTATAAGCAAAATACTAAATGTATTGATGATTGCCCTTGAACATTTCTTTTTTTAAAATTATGTACATAATTTTATTTTGTATAACACTTATCTTTACATGTTATTATTATCATTTACATTTCAATTCTTACATTATCTTCATTCAAATAATTTATGTGCATTATGTTGAACTGCTCGAATTTTACAAAAGTAGGCTTTTTATAGAAGCTCTAGATCGCGACTACAAACTTTATCCACAAAAATGCTTCCACTTGTTTATTTAAAAGATACATTGGTCAATAGTTTTAGAATAGTATAATAATGTGGATATATTCTTAAGATTTTATACGATATCCTAAAACGATTTCTGGTGTATTACGTTTGTGGAAAGGCTTACAACACTTTATCGTATTAAGCATAAAACGAAAAGCTTCCGGAAAAAAGTCAAGATTAAACAACTTGTTTACAAACAACAAATAATTCATTGTTACACTTGAAGAATTATCAGAGATTTAAATAAATTTACCGATAATTGAGTCCGCTAATAAAATGTTATCTTTTGATCTTTTTTTCTCTTAATATAAATTATTCATATTTCAAGCAAATAAAAAGCGATTGTAAAATATATCTATTTAATGGATTTATATAGAATAATATTGCTATTAAACCATGATAGAATGATTTTGTAATTCGTAAAACAAATGCTCTACATTACTGCCGCAACCTGTGAATTTATTGGAGTGCGTCGTTTTCTGTTTCGACATTTTTTGCTTTGCAACATTACAATGCGACGTGGTTTATAATGAGAGTTTAACACATTTCAAGAATCATTTCCCAAATATTTATAGGAAATTTTATGTAGTTATCATTTTAATAGAGCTTTTGAAACCACGACTCACACATAGAAAATTCACCTAATATTATCATTTTAAACAATGGTGTAAAATGCTCAAAAATATAGTTTTTATAGAGTTTTTTCGGTTGTTAATTAATGTAATAATTATCTCTTACATCTATATCTGTAAGTCTTACATTATCATAAGTTAGATTTTAATACTAATACTTGTCCTTATAGAATGGTTAAAAGTTTGAGCGGTGGGCAACAACGACGTGTATCATTGGCAGCAGCTTTGTTGCACCAGCCTGAGCTGCTCATCCTGGACGAACCAACTGTTGGAGTCGACCCGGTCTTGAGACAAAGGTTAATGCAAATATATTAATACTAAATTATTTACATAAATAAATAAGTATAGTATCGTATATGATAAAACTGCGCGATTAGAAAAAACGTTTAGTTTTTGAATTTTTGGATTTAAATCACATGGTAATCTTGCAATTGTACTAATAATACAATTGCTGGGAAAAATACATTGCCTAGTTCATCTGGCATTCTTTACATAATTTAATCATAATGATTAAAGTAAATATCTTATAGCGATTAAAAAATTAGATGTATTCTCGTACAAACGATAAAAAATATGTTTTATTTATAGTATATGGGACCACATGGTTGACATAACTCAAGGAGGAAAAACCACTGTTATCATAACAACACATTACATTGAAGAAACGCGGCAAGCTCATATGGTGAGTTTTTTTTCTGTTATATAATTAATCTGCAAAATCAGGAAAAACAACATCAAAGTTCAATAACAATTTTTAAATTGGAATGCGATATGAATAATTATCTCATAGTAAATACTTCAATAATGTTAATTACTTGTTTTTGCGATACGGAAGTGTTTTCCAAAACTATTAAAAATAACTTTGTTTTGTTTCTAATATGAGAGCAAGATAAGAGCAGAGTTTAACAAGAATCCTTGCTTTATTTAAATAAAAAATGAATATTTATATTTCAATGTGATTAGTTTTATACAATCTATATTTTGTTTCTTATCCAACAGATCGGTTTGATGCGAGGAGGAAAATTTTTAGCTGAAGAATCGCCGGCTCATTTGATGCAACAATATCGTACTGAAACCTTAGAAGCAGTATTTTTGAAATTATCTGTCTTGCAGAACATGGGAAAACGTAGGCGTTCTAGCATTCTGCAACAAGTAACTGAACGCATTGAAATACCTCACGCTGCCACGGTAATTTAATTTTGAAGATATTAGTATATATAACAAGTGAAAATTTGTTAAAAATTTATTTTTAACAAAATGGTAAGCCGCAAATTATATCTCGTTTCAAATTTTGGGCTCTCCGGTGGAGCTATGGAATTTCAATTAGAGGTCCCAGGTTCAGCACCCGTCTCAGACAGCCTGGAATCAAGCAGTAGTGACATCGGTTTTCAATGGAGAATATAGATAGCAATATGTTTCCAAGTAAAAATAGCCCTCATCCGGCGTTGCTGCATCAATAAAAAATTCATCACTATTACAGAAATTGTAGTAATAAAAATTCATCACATAGATATAGAACAATTGTTTGGGTTGCCATCTATAAAACCGCCGGAGTTAGTTTAATCAAATCATCACGGCAGAACTCATAGGACCTTTAAGTTCTAATCGCTGTTCGAATAATTGGAACTGGTGATGTATGGCATCGTGCCTTATGGCAAATTGCTGGAACTTCCCGTACCAAAAATTATTATTTTTTAAAAAGATTAATTTTTAACATTAAAATTAAAAAAAATAGATTTTTGAGAAATATTAAATTACTATAACTTGCCCTACGGGAAGTTAAAAATTAAATTTTTGGAAAAAAAAACTTGCAAAAAATGTTTTTTTTTAGTTTGAAATATTTTGGAAATTTTGAACTTTTTTTCAAAGCAATGACACTGCTTTAGCTGCATAGAGACAAAATATCAAAGCGCGTAAGCGCCGCGTCGCCGTCTAACGGACAAACGACGTTACGGAACCCATGGAAATCTAAACAAAATTGATACACATTAAAATTTCCATAAAATATCGATAATTTGATGTGTATATATCTAATGATAATTTTTGACCGCCAAATGGCTTTTTTTACTTTTTTTACTTGATCTCCCAAACCGCTAGTCCTGCCTTTCCAAAAAATTTTAACAGTTGTTCATCTTGTCAATACAAGTAAAATGTTTTTTGAATTATTAAAATCGGACGCTCAGTTCTCTTAAAAACTGAGTTACCGTTTTCGGCACTTTTTGCCCCGTATCTTTGGAAGGCTACACCTGCCTTTGCCAGAAACTAATCAGCACGTCTCCTTATCAACACGATTCGAATGTTTTTTGAATTATTCAAATCAGTTGATTCGTGCGCCCGAAAGGTTGTATCCAAACATACACATACACACATACATCAATTTTTTTAAAGGTATGTCAAAATGTTTTTAGAAACTTTCAAAACGTGAAGAAATGCAAAAATTTCTATTTTCGTTTTTTTGCGATTACTATAACTTACCCTACGGGAAGTTAAAAAATGTGTTGCCAAGTAAATCGTTATACAACACTATATATCGAAAATACTATGTTGAAAAATGCAAGAGATCACATATAATCGTTTTACAATTTAGTAATATTCAGGAGCGTAGCGAGTCTTGGCTTGGTGGGGCCCCGTATCTCACAAAATAAAGAAATGCATTTATTTATCATAATTACCTTTCCGTTACTTTTTCTAATTCAAATTTAGTACACACCCTGCTTTCCTTTTTTCGGCAAGTTGATTTATTGAATTGTTTATAACTAATGGATGTCTTTGGTATATGTATATATCTATAGATATAATTAACCCCCGTATAAATAATACCGCAGATATAAGATAACTACGCCCCTGATAATACCCTAATAATTAATTTTTCAATCGTCAACCTCATTTCTTTTTTTAGGATCCAGCAATAGAGATCGATGATGAAGAAGTAGGCGAAATATCTGGAGAATTTGGAGACAACATTTCAATGAGTAGTCGTGGTGGCGTTCGTGGTTCGCGAGGAGTTGTCGTTCCTGGTGTAAGTGTTGGTGTTCCTCCTCCTTTGCCACCAGAAGAAACACCGCTTGAATCGAATTGCTGGGATCGTGCGAAGCTTTTGCAAACGCATCATATGAAGGCGCTTATATGGAAAAACTTCTTATGGATGTGGCGTAACGTAGGGTTAGTTACATATATTTAATAAGTAGTAAATTATTTGTGCTTACAAATTTAGTATTGATATTCTCACAAATTACCTATTAATTTTCTTCTACTATGTGAAATTACTTAATAAATTATATTCACAGCGTGATGGCTTTTATAATTGGTTTACCGGTTGCCCAAATTGTTCTATTCTGTTTATCTATCGGACATGATCCTGTAGGATTACGTATGGCTGTTGCTAATAGTGAACTGAATACAACTATGTGGAGTGACGAACCACGGACAGATCTTGCCGCGTGTCCTATTACACGTGGTTGTAATCAGACCCTACTAAGTTGCCGATATTTAAATCACCTCAGAGATCGAAAGGCTGAATTGGTACGGTTTGACAAAAATTAATAAAAAGAATATTTAAGATCGAATGTTTACTATTAAATAAATTCCTTAGGAATTCTATGCCGATGAAGAATTAGCTTTGGAAGCAGTGCGTCGAGGCAAAGTTTGGGGATCCATCGTTTTTGCGCACAATTATACAGAATCTCTGGTTCAACGAATGGAACAAGGAAGAAACGCCCCAGATGAAATATTAGCGGCTGCCGACATTGATGTCACTATGGATATGTCCAGTGAGTTGATTATATTTAATTAAATTAATCTGTATGTAAGTTTAAACTCAGTTTTCAACAAAATTGTCTATTTTTTTACAGATCAACAAATCGGAACACTTCTATATCGTGATATACAATATGCATTCGGCGATTTTATAAAGCAGCTTCTAAAAGATTGCGATATTGATCCTAATGTTGGAAACATTCCACTGCAGGTGAGTAAATAAACCAAAATGATACCGTATAAATCATTTTATCAACACTTTAACATTTAAAACATTTAATATCGTTCCGTATCTCATTTATTTTAGTTCCGTAATCCAGTTTTTGGCGATCAGATTCCAAACTTCACAGATTTTGCAGCACCAGGAGTTATTTTAACGTGAGTATAAAAAATAAATATTCATTAAATTGATAAGCATTTAAGATAAGTGAAAAGATAAATAAATGAGAATAACCATTTAAATGATAAATTTCGTTTAATTTTAGTATTATATTTTTCTTATCCGTTGCGCTTACCTCAGGAGCAATGTTGCTAGAACGAAATGAAGGTTTACTGGAACGTTCGCTGGTATCAGGAATAACAGGTCTGAATTTTGTGTTATTTTTACGTTGTTTAATTGTTTTGTGATATCCACATATGATAAGACATATTAAACAGAAGATTATCTATTTAATAACATATATTTTTTTGGAAATATTAAAAGTCATATGTTAATTTTTATTGCAGGTGTTGAAATTTTATTTTCCCATGTCACAACACAATTTTTGGTCATGTGCGGTCAAACAGCATTAGTGCTTATTTTCAGTTTTGCAGTATTCGGTTTAAGTCTCAAAGGCTCCGTAACTTGGATAACTATTCTGACTATTCTTACAGGCTTATGTGGAATGTGCTTTGGTAATTTTAATTAACATAAATATTTGAAGATAAAACATTAATAATTTATTTTAATTTATTATTCTTTGTTTCAATTTTAGGCTTTGTTGTTTCGTGTTCTTGTGAAAATGAACGTAGTGCAACATACATGGCTATGGGCAGCTTCTTGCCTATTGTAATGCTGTGTGGTATAATTTGGCCAATTGAAGGCATGCATCAAGTACTTAGGTATAAAATTTATTTTTTAATCATGCATATTAATTGATCATATTGAATAAATTAATGTACGTTGTACATTTTTACAGATATATATCATACATCTTGCCACTAACTAAATCAACAGAAAGTTTACGAAGTATGTTACAAAGAGGTTGGAGCATACACCGGCCTCAAGTATATTATGGATTTTTGTCAACATTTGGCTGGTGTGTCGTCTTCCTAACAGTTAGTATATTACTTCTGAAGTTTAAGAAAGGTTAGGTTAGTTTTAAACATGTATTTTTTATATTCTTTGTATTGTGCACTAAGTATCTATGTTATTTTTTATTGTTATCATAAGATGTCCAAATCTAGTATAATGTAAGAGGTTTAGTTAATTTTAAATTATTGTGAAAATAATTAGTTATATAATGGACAATTGAAATTTAGCGGGTTAAAATATTTTTATGTGATGACTTCTTGAAGAAATTCAGGATGTATGAATTATTAGACATTAGCTGTACTAAAATAATATAATTATTTTTTGAATGTCAAAAATACTAATGCAACATCTTCTATAAAATTAAAACTTATGTAGATGTTATAAAAAATAGAAAAAAATAAATTGTGATATATCAAGATATTTTTATTAATATAAATATGTCATGTGCCTCACATCACCTCTTAATACAAAATAATACGTGCAATTGTGTGAACATAGAACACGTATGCCCTCAGGTCCAACAGTGCCAATAACTGCCGTTACCACAGTGATAATATAATTTCATTATTAAGCACAATAATTTGGATAGAAAAATATATCAGTATTTTACTAATGCGTCTTAGTTGTAATACCAATTAATGAGTATGTTATCCATAGTCAACATTGGTTATTGTATCTGATAAATTTTACTTAGCAAAAAAAAATTAATTATGCAGTTATTATCTACTTTCTTGAGCAGTCAATTTATCAATTAATTCTTGTAATGGTGCTAACTCTCGCCTGTCTATCAAATCGAATTCCTAAAATTATGAAAAAAGATGAAAATCATGTTTTATATTATGAAAGTATATATTTCAAGCTAACCTGAACAAAAAATATAAAATGCTTGAAGCTAGTGTTTAAATGAGCTTCTTCTCCTAATTGCACTACTTGCGTAAAATGTTGATGATATATGTGAGCATAAACCCTAAAAAGGCGTTTTAAAATAGTTTTGGCTATAACTTGAAAGTTTCTTGGAAAGGGCACTCCTATAAATTAATAAAGATAATTAAATACTGCATACAACTCATACACAATTATTTTTATAAGTAATACCTATTTTTGAAGGAAATAGCATCTCATCATCAAGTTGATCTTGAACCCAAGTCATTAAATAATCTATATACTTCGGTGCTGAGCACTTTATAGGTTTTTTAACAGTATGCCCATCAGCCCAATGGTATTCATATTTTGGGCCAGCTGACATTATAGCACATGATTCTTCAGTACAGAACTCTGTTATAGTTCCATATAACATATTTATTTGATTAAAAAAATCAACAGCTGCAATAAAACAAAATATTTGAACCATATTATTCTTCAGTTTATAAATAATGTTATGATAAATGAGAGAACTATAAAGATATTAACATGCATTGATAAAATCCAAATCAAACTCGAAGGAAATATTATTGATTAAATGTCAATTTATAACACTAACTGTTCACAGCAACCCATTCATTTAGATCTTCTCCCTCGGGCAGCATAACAGCAAGACGAAGATTACCAGAACCAAGCGTGGCTGCAGCATGTTTCATTAAGTCATATTGATGAGTACCTTCAGGTATGTTCTTCTTAGGTTTGAAAGTCTTACTAGATCTGCTCCCACTGTGGTAACAGAATATCGATGATAAGAATTGACATAGAATAAACCAATACTTAGCTCTATTGAGTTAGTCAATCACTTTAATTATGTATCATCTTTTATTTCAGTAATTATTACATTTTCCATTGTTTTACTTCTTTTAACATATCTCAATAGTTATAGCTATTAAATGGTCATTAAATATTATATTTATAGTAGATTGTAAACATTAACATAAAACGTCAAGACTGATATTTTGTAAAGTTGTTCATAACAAAAACAAGATAAATTGTTTATAAGGAAGTGCATTTTCAATTCAATAAGAAAAATCACTTACAAAAGAAAACTCATTTCACTTGCAGAAGATCTATGTATAAGCTTTCCTCATTAGAATAATAAACAACAAAAGTTAACAATTAACAAGATTATAAAATTAATAATAACATTTCAATAAATGATAAAATTGATAAGAATGTCACTGTCAGCAAGAAGACATAGACGTATAAATTTTTAATTCTAGGCGGTCAAGTAAGCATTTTTTAAGTAATTATTTTCAGGATTAATCATTAAAATTTAAAGTGTGTTTTCTTAATTATGGTCATGTCTGTTTTATCAGTATAATTGAAATAATGTTTTGGGTTGTTGTTATCAACTTGATAACATCAAAATAAAAATGCAGCGACAAATTAGTTTCGTCACGAGTTCTTAATCTTTGTACATGTTATCTGTTATCTGTGATACATTTCTATTGTGTGTTTGACGTTTGCAGTGTGGTTATGTCATATTTGGTCATGTTGAATAAATAATTAATTAATCTATTTATTTAACAACGGGCACTTCCGAGTAGTTAAACCAATTTTTATTTTTTGCAATGTTATAGTGTTTTCTATTTTACGATATGGGTGCAAAAGTTTCTAGAACAGATTTCGAATGGGTTTTGACAGAAGAGCCGCATGCCAGCCGGCGAGAAATGATTTTAAGCAAGTTTTGATTTTTGTGCATGATTTATTTCATTTATTACATATATTTTATTTATTTATGTTTAGCTCTGATTTCGAAAATATTCATGTTATTCCTTCCAACTAATGACTGTGGATTGTGCAACAATTGGCACTGATTTAAAAATGATAGTAGAACCTCGATTAACCGGACTAATTGTTGTCGATAGGCATTCGGATAATCAAAAATCCGTATAATTCAATGTACGAAGAATAATGTTGTGTATTTATTAAAAATAACAAATACATACATAGATATCAACGAAAATCAATGTTTATTAAGAAATTAACACTTCCTTTTGTATATACATACATATTATCTTAGATTACATTACATACAAATACTGAACTGCAGCAATAATCATGCAAACATTTGAATTGTAAGTATATACATACTAGTGATGGGTAACTCACTCCGGAGTTATCACTCCGATACAACTCCTTCTTCGGAGTGAATCCGAGTGAAGTTGTGTTGGAGATTTTGTCATATCTGACTTTCCTAAACTGGTATTAAATCTGTTACTGCGTTTTTGCTTTGGGAAGGAAGCAATTATATTGTTTTATATGAAATTAATCTAAAAAATCAATTATTTTCTTATCGAAAGAAAATTTCTATTTTAATTTTAAGGTTTATTTTCTTGATAATTCAAAATATTCTCACTTTTAGCATACCACTTGGGATTTGTAAGCATATAGAAATGCTAAAAATCGTGACTTTTTATAATAATATCAACAAGTATGTTTGAACTGATTATAAAAGAATTTCAAATAATTAATGGGATTTGACAAATCCTTATATACATAAACCACACACTATGTGTCACTGAACACAATTGTGTCTATATTTCGGTTTCAAAATTTGTCAGATTTGTGGAGTTGTTAAGCGGATATAACTCCTTCCTGAAGCGGATTCAAATTTTTACCAATCTGGCTTCAGATATGTTAAGCCTATCTCTAGTACATACATATAAATTGGTCACAGTTAGTAGTCCGGGTAATCGCAAATCTGTATGATTGAGGTCCGGATAAACGAGGTTCTACTGTACTTAATGTTTCTGGGCTATAATTTGTATTAACATTTTTTTTTTTTCAGAAAAGTATCCACAAATTAAAAAGCTGTTCGGATACGATCCAAGATTTAAATGGGTAGCAAGTGCAATGGTATTATCTCAGTTCATTATGATATTTATAATAAAAGACCAGTCCTGGCCTATCACACTTCTTGCCGCGTATTGCTTTGGAGGTGTTATAAATCATTCATTGATGCTTGGTAATTGATTTGAATTTTTGTTTGTTCTAATTTCTTTGTTTAATTCACTTTGATTAACACTTCTAGCCATTCATGAGATTTCACATAATTTGGCTTTTGGACATAGTCGTCCAATGCACAATCGACTCTTTGGATTTTTCTGTAACCTTCCAATTGGACTTCCTATTTCAATATCATTTAGAAAATATCACTTGGAACATCATAAGGTATCTCAAAATAACTAACCACTTCTTTTAATCAATAATAAGCAATAACTAGCAATTAATTGTTTAAATTCTTATGTAATATGTTAAATTCTTAAGTTTTAACTTATGTTTTAAATACAATATATGTTGTTATAGTACCAAGGAGATGAAGTAATTGACACTGACTTGCCCACATTAGTGGAGGCTAAATTATTTTGTACAACAGTTGGAAAATTTTTCTGGATTATGTTACAACCATTTTTCTATGCCTTGAGACCATTTATGGTCTACCCCAAACCGCCAACAAAATTAGAACTTGTAAATCTAGTTATACAATTAACATTTGATGGAATTGTGTGGTATTTTTTTGGTAAGTTTATTTAATAAAATATTTAATACATAAAATTGAATAAAACCTATTTTTGCAGGTGGTCGAGTTATAGGTTATTTAATATTTGGATCACTGATGGCAATGGGCCTTCATCCAGTAGCAGGTATCATTACTTTTAATATGTGTGCACATATTATGTATGTGAAAATTTCAAATCTGAAAATATATTTTTTGTATTATAATTTTCAGGTCATTTTATTTCTGAGCATTATATGTTTAAGAAAGGTTATGAAACATATAGTTATTATGGACCTCTGAATTGGATAACATTTAATGTAGGATATCACAATGAACATCATGATTTTCCTTACGTTCCTGGAAGGTACCTTCCCGAGGTAAGTCCATGATTATAATATTTATATATAAAATTTCAAATAAGTTTATGGTTTATTGAATACTTTAAGTATCATTTTTTGTTTTAATTATAAATTTAATGACGAAGCAGATATACATGCATAAAATGTTCTTAGGTGAAACGAATAGCTTCTGAGTTTTATGATAATTTGCCTCATCATAATTCTTGGACTGCAGTGCTATATGATTTTGTTATGGATCCTGACATAGGACCCTACGCTCGTATGAAAAGAAAAAGTAAAGGCTTAAGAACATAGTCACTATAATATTGAAAGTAGCTTTATTTTTTATATTTTAAAACATTGTTATATATAATAGGTATATGTATACATGTATGCATACATATATAAAATTTTATATACATACTGAAACTTAAAGTATTTATATCAGCATTTACACATTTTTTATTATTAGTCAATTGATAATACATATTACAAATTTCATGCTATCGGTAGATGCTTGTCACATGGCAACTTAATTAGTAACTATTTAGTTTAGTTGAACTTGAAGCATCTTTATTAGTATAACAGCATTTACAGTGAATGATGCTTTATCAATATTTTTTCTTTTGTCTGAAGTATCAGAAAATTTATTTCTATATATGTTTGCACATACAAATATATATGATAAAGTTTTTTACTTTAGGCAAAAGGAAAAGTGTTGACTGTGTTTCATTCACAGTAAATGCTAAATAAACTTGATAAAGAAACTTACTGTTTAATTATCTTCCTAAATGCTCTATAATGTCGTCAAAATAAACTGAAACTCTCATGGTCTAAATACTTCCAACTTATATTTTTTATATTATGAAAAATAATTAAATAAGTTTAAATGCAATAACAAGCAATTGTTGAAAGTCTATGATTTTGCTAGACAACTGTTTCTTATTATTATGTTCCATTTTGAATGGAGAGATTACTAAGAGTTTTACATTACAACTATACTACAAAATAGTTACTATGCAAATATTTATCTACCTTGTATGACATAAAAATAATAATTATTTGCCAATAGTTATTTGGAATATATCTTATTGAATTCCACAAATATCGAACCAATTCTAATTCTCTTTTTATATAAAACATATTCTCAGTATTATTTATTATAAATTACGGATAGTTTAACAATTAACAAAAGACAATAATGATATAAACACTACATTAAATTAAAATTTGTTTTGTTTATTCTAATATGTAACACAAATCAATATTAATAGCTGAATGATCTGGCAGAATGTTTTCAATATTAAGTTAATTAATTAGTATTCACTTATTTTCAAGTTTTTGATTTTTTTTTCTCATTTGCATATTATTTTTGTACATATTCAGAAATGAGTATTTCATTCATTTGGTTTCATGCAAATATAATTTTGCAATTTGAATAAATATATTGAATAATTGGCTATATGTTTTTAATTTTACATATTCATGTTCTTTTAGTCATTTATATTTATTAAATAGATTGGAGTGAGAGCTCCAAGAACAATAGAAAAAATATTTGTTTGAAGTACTTAAAGGTAAATATAAATTACGTGAAGCACTGTGGCAGTTATTACATTGATTTCCAAGTATCTGAATATATAGCTAAAGAATAGAATTTGTTATAGCTAATAGTAGTATTATTTTGAAATATCTTCTGAATATCTTGCAAAAACTAAAACAGCATATATGGCAGACTAATGGTTTGATGTTTGTGGAAACTTTAATAATATCGTTAAATGAATATTAATTTCTTTTACATTAAGGTGTTATTCTTTACTAAATATTTCAATTGTGTCATAACTTATTGCTTAAAGAAGTCTCATTGATGTGATGATTACAGAAGCTTAATTGTGAGTATGTTAAAGTACGTAAATGTTTATCATTTAACATTTATGATCAAATGCTTTTATTTAAAAATGATGAATTTCACATTAGTTTTAAGATTATATATATATATATATATATATATATATATATATATATTGTTTTTAATGCATTTTATAATAGGGAAGAAGGTGTACAGCGTAAATGTGATATGAAGGCATTTTTATTCCACTATAATAATACATAGTATTTCTTGCAGATCAACCTTGATCTATTTAAACTGCGTATTGATTTTTTAATATAGTTAATATGTAGTTTTTGCTATTTGCCTCAAAAATATGTTATAATTAGGAGCATATTTATTTATTTTCTTCCGAGTCTGCTCTAATATAATCAAACTAAAAATGGTCTTACTAGGAGATGGAAACAATTTTAAATAATTTTAATATATATATATATATATATATATATATATATATATATATATATAATGTGAATGTGTCTTAATAAAATAAATAATTATACTGTTATAAATTGCATACATTGTGCATTTCGAATCATAAATGCTCATAACTGATTAACCCATAAACGTGCTTTACAAAATATCAAGAATCTCTAATTTTCTATGATATTAATTAGACTAAACTGACAGGAAACGTGGTTTTTATCTGATATAATGTATGCATATGTTAATGTCTTATGATAGAAATATTTATGAATAATAAAGTGGCCGATAGTCAATTTGTGTGCATATGAATTAAGGCATAATTTATAGTTTGAACTGACTTTTTCATAGCAACATCAAATATTTACTGAATATATTGAAATGTCAATTCTTGGCATACATTTTTAATACTGTTGTGAAAATAGTATATTTTATGATATGCCTTTATATGTTATAAAATGCGACCCCAATTGTTTGACTGATCTGATTGCTTCAGGGTTTAGTCAAAAGCAATTACAAAACAAATTCAAATTATACGTCTTTTTGATCAGTCTAAATGCAAATAGGAGGATTGAAGGTTAAATTAAGTCAACTCTGTATTTAACGAGGTATGATTCTTCACCATATTTTTTTAATACTTTATTCCTAAAAGTGCTGTGAACTATCTTTTGAAAATTATGCGAAAACGAAAGATACAGTATTGATACTTCAGTATGAAAACTGTATTATTTGAACAAATGAAAATATTATTACAAAACGTTTAGTGTTTCAGTTCAGGGTCACATAAAATACGTTTTCGTATTTGAATTTGAAGTTCACATTTGAAATTAAGTAAAACTTGAATTTAATTTATATTTTTTTTCGAGTATTGCATATAGGCTGGCGGCCACCTATTTATTATATATGGGGCATAGTACATAATTATTGATATAAATATTTTGTTACCAAAATAAAAATAATGTATTTTACTGAAAAATGTTAAATGTAACTGTGATTATAATAAAGATATATACATATATTATATTACGAGTTTCATAATCTATTTTCAGTATACAAGAAAAACAAGATTTAGTTGAAATATAGATGAGTTTATTTTCTCTTGTCCTTAATATATTAATTAACAAAAAATCTATGATTTATTACATATTCATATTGTATTGAATTGTAGGAATCTTGTGAATCTGTATATAAGTATTGCGTGAGCTGAAACAAGATGCAAATTTTCGTTACAAATCGTATTTAATGATTACAACGCTTTTATTACAATATTTTTATTTTATGTATATTTAAGAAAACTTATTTTTTTATATATGAATACTCCATTTAGCAAAATTTTTCAGCACCTTACGTTTAAAGGCGCGTCTATTCCTCTTCTTCTTCCTTTCCTCTTCTTCTTCTTCTTCCTCTTCTTCCTCCTCTTCTTCTTCCTCTTCTTCCTCCTCCTCCTCAGCTTCTGGTTCTGGTTCAAAGGTGGGTTCTTCAATTTCTTCGTCCAAGACATCATCGACCTTAAGTTCTTCCTCACCTTCGGGTGATTCTGGGTCTCCGGCTTTCTTGCCTGGTCGTTCGCCGAACCATTTAGGAAGCTTAGCTAGATAATTAGTAATTTAAATTAGAAAGTTGTTCATTTACTTCAGAACATTTTACTTATTTTGTTTTTTTTTTTGTGTTTTATATTCGTTTTGTCATGGAGGTAAAACTAACAATAAGTAAAATTTCAATTTCTTATTCATTGCTGATAAACTAAAATTAAGTTATATATTTTATAGTTTTTTTTATTATATTTTTACATAAAGATGATCGACACATAAAAAATTCAAGCATTTTTATTAGTAGATAAAGGTCAAACCGACTAGTATCAGAAACATCATTCACTTTCATAAATATATGCAGATTAAAAACATGAAGGATATAAATGCAAGATGCAAGTTTGTTTCAAGTAAAATTTAAAATTAAAACTAATATATTACATATATAGCATTTACTATTTTATACCTTTTGTGAAGTTGGAACTGCATTTATTGAGGTTTATGGACTATAAGTTGATGATAAACTATGAGTTTGATTGAAATTTGGATAATAATCCCCTCAAAAAGTAGTAAAAGATGAATAATGTGCGATTATTTTCAATTGGATAGTAAAATTCAACTGAATTTTGATATTGATTACTTACTTAATTCAAATTCAACTAATTTTGAGTACTAACATTGCGCCACACACAATGCATTCCTACTGTTATTTTTAAATAGTTTTTATTAGAAAGTAATTAAATATTAATAAATTAGACCAATTAATAATAAAAACTTGAAAATTTAGTATATTAGTAAATGTTAGCGAAATTGAATAGGTACACGAGTCAGAGCTTCAATCTTTAGTTCAAGTCTCATATTGGCGAGGTTGGAAACATAGGCAGTTTAATGGTTTTTACGTTGTGAGGTGGAAACGATTTCTCAAGTGATCGGAGTCAAAATGATTTAGCTAAAGTCTATCGAAATATTTGGTTTCTACCTATATTATCAACCTCGCAGATAATAAACTTTCCGTGTGATCGAGCCAAAGCCGGGAATGAAGAACTACACATTTTGTGTGTGAGCGCGCATGAAGGACTAAGGAATACTTACTCTTTTGGCGTCCACCGAATTGTTCGCTCCTATCGGACCATAGCGTTCAAGGACTTCTTTGTTTTGAGTTTCTAGACCCTATGGATAAATTGTTAAATACGGGATAAAATCACAGATGCTTCATAACAGTTGTTAGATCACATGGGGTTTGGTGATTCGTTTCATAAAATAGGATAAGATGTTTACATGATCTTGGCTGGTCAAAAACTTTGATCTGCTTTTTTAAATACTCGTACCTTATTAAGATAATTGTTTCTATCATTGTGCATTATGGTACCACAATGACATCGCTTTTGTAGTAGTAAATCGCTATTCAATACTAAAATTAAATCAACGTGCGTCGCGCAGGTGAATGTTTTTAGGGTAAACAGTCCAATACAAAACATAATGAAATATTGAATGATTGACGGATTGAATTAGGATGCAATATATTTGTAAAACACATCACACTCTTCTCAATCCCAATTCGATAATGCAAAAATAAATATACAGACATAAAATTTGGGAAACACAAAAAATGATAAATGGTAAAAACTTCAGATTAATGGCACACTTAAGAATTATTTTCATCGGGAT